AATAATATGCTTTCTTTTCCAACTCCAACACTCCTCTATTTCCATGCGAGAGCATGTCAAAGGCTTGTATATGGTTGAGGTGGATGCAGTTGTGATGCGAGGAAGGGAGCTATTGTGCTATTGGGATTTGGGAGGAGCTCTTCTTTTTCTTTCTTTCTTTCTTTTTTATTTTATGATCCAAAATTCAAAAACCATTAAGCAAATTCACCATAAAGGGCGTATTAGAATGTTTTGTTAAATGTGCAAATGGTACAAGGACTTTAAGCATGTACTAAAATCATATGTAAACTCAGTTGTGTATTATATTCGCACATGGATTAACTTCTATCAGTAAAAAAATTAATTGAATAATCCACGGGGCAAGTAAAGTGCCTATGAGGCAACTACTGTCAGACAATAATAAGTGAATTAAATGAATACTACATGAACTTTATCTCATTACAAAACCATAAGAGAACCATGTCAAGTATATCAAAATCATGGACGAACTTATCTTTGCATCAGATCATATATGAACTCACAAATTTGTGTCCTCAATTTTATATGTAAAAATTAATAAAACAATCCACGTGATAAACATAGTACTTATGTGGAAATGGTGTGGTGTACTCTTAGCATTTCACATCATTTAAATCGACATTCTCAAAATGTAAATAAGTGAATTAGTGAGTGATAATAGAAGTGATTTTCTCATTCAATTGAACCAATTCGAATGCAAATGTTTCATTTTTAGAACCCAATCGTTCGGAATTATTGAATATTCTGAAGTTAATTCCATAAAGTACATAATAATAATAAAAATAAATTTTTTTTTCCCACATTTTTTCATATTTAGCATCACTAAGCATTGAATAAATTCTACTAAAGTCATTCATACGTTAATGAGGAATTTTATCATGGCATCCTCTTTGAGCGGGTCAATTTTAAGCAGTTTCTTGAACTCTATTATTGTACTCCAATCTTATGCTCGCAATTTAGGAAAATTAATATGAAACGTGATTAAATGGAATAGTTGAAAATTTTCCTCCCTTTTTAAAGCGTGTTACTTTCTTTTGAAATTAAATCCCCTAAAAAGTGAATCGTAAATGAGGTGATTTGATAATATCAAGTGTCCACCATGCCATTTTTATGTAAGCACTTTGTTTCTCATGAGGATTATTTCATTAATTTTGACAACAAAAATGTTAATTCATGTATGAATGAGAAACAAATTTATGATTACATGTATGACTTCTCCACAAAGATTAGTTCACGTATTGTTTTATACAGAGGTAATCATATACCATTCACATAATTTACTTGTCGAAGTGTATGCGAAATAGGCATTCTGTTTGTCACATCAATTATTTTGTTAGTTTTGATTGACGAAAGTTGATTCATGTATGAATGAAATATAAATTAACGAATTTATGTGTAATTTTGATACAAAGTCGAGTTCGTGTATAATTTTGATACATAGAGTAAAGTTCATCTACCATTCGTGTATTTAATTACACCTTTAAAATATGTACTATGTAAAATTACAAACAATGTGACAATAAATAGAACTTTTTGTGTGTATGTGTCTGTGAATTCATTCATCAAAGAAATTCTTTCCCTCACGGTGATCAGTATGCTTTTCTACTCATCAAGCTAATTAGTAGCCTACCTTACGATACAAGGGCTAGGGGTGTAAGCGGTCCAATTTTATCGATTTTTAACAAATTTTCAAACCAAATAGTTTAAACCGGTTTGAGAAAAACTCAAACCTAAACCAAACCATTTTGAACGGTTTGAAAAAAATTCAAATATAAACCTAACGGTTTGGTCCAGTTTTAAATCGTCGATTTTGCCATATATTTTTTTGCCTGTCTATTTTTATATCATTAATTCATTAAATTCAATATATATGTATATCTTACTAGCAATAATCTAAAACAAACTAAACCCCTAAACCAAATTTTTGAGACAAAAAAAATGAAAATTTGGACTTTCAAAAATTTGGACCGTTATCCCACAAGTCCAGTCGCCTTTGTTGACCTACTGTTTCATATATGGGACCCAGCGTCATCTCTAACGATTAATTTTCTCATTATGATGATATGAAAAATATAGCTCAAACAGGGGCTAAATATATCTACTATAAATTTAAATATCAACTAAATCAAAGTGAAATCACAATAAACTAAAACATTTTTTTTTCATTTTTGTTAACCCTTTTTTAGGTTAATGACGATACAATAACGTTAAAATACAAGTCTACTAAACTAGATATAAAGCCTAAAAAATATAATGATATCCAACAAGACCTCGCGATCATCATATATGAAAAAAGGATATAGAGTAAACAAAAAGAATAACCAACCATAATAATAAAGCAATTTTTTATAATATATAAACATAACAATTACAAAATTTTACGTTTGTATGATGTTACAAGACGTATTTAATTTCAAATTCTTACCTTAGTTTGCTTTAAAAAAATTATTGATCTAAAACTTTTATTTGTAGCAAACATTATTACCGAAGGTCTTGGATCTCTGTCTCTGATTTGGTATAATGGATTTCAATTCAACTTTACAGAGGAATGAAAAATTTGAAAAAAAAGTGTGTAGTGTCGGTGACTCAAAATTATGTTGGGTGTCGACTGGAGTTCATCTAAATTCTGAAAAGTAAAAGGGCTTTTGATATATTATGTTAGCCTTGAGATTATTAGATATAAATTAGGATTATTGGATAATAATAATATATCTATATTAGAAAATTAGAAATTGATAAAAACCCACAAATGACAAAACTATTGAATTTTACATATTTTGATGAATTTTGTTGAAAATTCATTTTGTCATTTTTTCATTTATATATATTTTTTTGCCAATCCGATTTGGTTTTAAATCGCAATTAAAATTCTCAAACCTAAACCAAACTATTTTGACTTGTTTGGTTTGGGTCAAAACCATTTCGTTGATCGGGTTCACATGACACCAAACCGACGATTTCTAAAATGCGATTTCAATTCGATTTTTCGATTTAGCGATTTTTGCTTACAGCTCTAACAAGGGCTAGTCTCATTTCCAATTCTAACAAAAGCATGAACTCTTCTAGCTTGCCTTATGAAATGTAATGATATTTTCAACAATAATAGGAAAAGGTAAGAACGTCATATATTAATTATCCTTTAATCATATTTTGGTGCATATTGATTTCTCATCTAAAAGTGGACTAAGATTGATTACTTTGATGCCATTTTTTTTTTTGGCACATTTAGTATTATGATAATATTAATTTTTTACTATAAAATAAAGTAAAAGAGTATAAAAAAACATACAGAGAAAATGCTACTAAATCAAGCAATAGAACTAGCTTTATTAAATTATTTGTGTTGATTCGTTAATTATTTATCAATCGCATTTTTAAAAAATCACAATTAATAATTTTAAAAGTTTCATAGCAATATTTATGATGGTATTTTTAACTAAAATGATTCATTTAAATAAAAAGTATGAAAAAATTGTCTATGTTAAGAAATAAAATAAGGAAATACATAGTTCAAATATATAGTTTAAATATTATAATATATATTTACTCTCAGATGACAGGAGAAATTTGTTAAAAAAAAAAGCAATGGAGATTAAAAATTTTTAAAAGTGAAGGGTTTATCCATGTTCTATAACATGCACAAAGAAAGCGCAAATATGCAAATACCCCTCGAGTCACTAAGGGGCCAGTGGCTAGAGGTCCAGGATTTAGTCCGACGAAGTTGGGATACCTGGGTATAAAAAAAAAAAAAAATGCAAATACCCTGCTTGATTAGCCAGAATTTGGAATTTTTTTTACTGAAACATGAAAATAGAAAACAAATCTCACTCTGATTCATTAATCAATCACAGTCAACCCATGTGCTATACTGATACAGAAAACCATAACATCTTAATGTGACATTCACCTACTAACCCTACCTTCCAACCCCACTTACGCGACCCACCCGACTGTCTTCTTCGAGTACTGCCCCTAAGGCCTTTCCCTTTCAGCGCAGTTGGTAAATAGCAAAGTCTCAACGGCGTAAGAGTAATGAATTTTGCCCATAGATTACCTACGTTCTGATGCCATTTCTCCCATTCTTTTGTGTTTTCTTTTCTTTGCTAGTTGACTTGTTGCTTTCAATTTTTTTTTTTTCTCAAGTTTACTTGAACACCCTTTTTCTCTATACCTCCTGCTATTCTTCACCATTTACCCTAAACATTTCTCTTTCTCTATCTACAAAATGTATTTTTTTTACTGTTGACAATTTGGTTCCCTATCTAGTTTGCTTTGAAATAATGTCAAGATAAAAAGCAGCCATGGCTATGACTTCTTTAATTTTCTTCACCATTTTCACATTTGCGGCCCTTCTCACTCTTCTCTTTCCTTCTTATTGCTTAAATCAAACGCAGTCCATATATACTCACAGGGTAAATAAATAACCTTTTCTGCTTCTTCTTCTTCTTCCTGCATCTATTCTCTACACGAATGTATATATAAAATGATGCTTATGGGGTTTTGTGTATTATAGGGTTTGGAGGTGGAGTTGTTAAAAAAAAAAAAAAAAAAAGCAATGGAGATTAAAATTTTTTAAAAGTGAAGGGTTTATCCATGTTCTATAACATGCACAAAGAAAGCGCAAATATGCAAATCCCCCTCGAGTCACTGAGGGGTCAGTGGCTAGAGGTTCAGGATTTAGTCCGACGAAGCTGGGATATCTGGGTATAAAAAAAAAAAAAAATGCAAATACCCTGCCTGATTATCCAGAATTTGGAATTTTTTTTACTGAAACATGAAAATAGAAAACAAATCTCACTCTGATTCATTAATCAATCACAGTCAACCCATGTGCTATACTGATACAGAAAACCATAACATCTTAATGTGACATTCACCTACTAACCCTACCTTCCAACCCCACTTACGCGACCCACCCGACTGTCTTCTTCCAGTACTGCCCCTAAGGCCTTTCCCTTTCAGCGCAGTTGGTAAATAGCAAAGTCTCAACGGCGTAAGAGTAATGAATTTTGCCCATAGATTACTTACGTTCTGATGCCATTTCTCCCATTCTTTTGTGTTTTCTTTTCTTTGCTAGTTGACTTGTTGCTTTCAATTTTTTTTTTTCCTCAAGTTTACTTGAACACCCTTTTTCTCTATACCTCCTGCTATTCTTCAACAGTTACCCTAAACATTTCTCTTTCTCTATCTACAAAATGTATTTTTTTTACTGTTGACAATTTGGTTCCCTATCTAGTTTGCTTTGAATTAATGTCAAGATAAAATGCAGCCATGGCTATGACTTCTTTAATTTTCTTCACCATTTTCACATTTGCGGCCCTTCTCACTCTTCTCTTTCCTTCTTATTGCTTAAATCAAACGCAGTCCATATATACTCACAGGGTAAATAAATAACCTTTTCTGCTTCTTCTTCTTCTTCCTGCATCTATTCTCTACACGAATGTATATATAAAATGATGCTTATGGGGTTTTGTGTATTATAGGGTTTGGAGGTGGAGGAAAAAACAAGACTGGGTTCAATGCCACCGAGTTGTCACAACAAATGCAACCAGTGCCACCCATGCATGGCGGTGCAAGTGCCTACACTGCCGAGTCACGACAGAGTCCATCCGGGTCAAATCACACCAAAGCCACTAGAGTATTTAGATCCTTCACCGTCATTGGCCGGGAACAGGTACTCCAATTACAAGCCACTTGGATGGAAGTGCAGATGTGGTGGCAACCTTTACAACCCTTAAATAATGATTAGCAAAGGAATTCCGATTCCATAACAAAATTTTCGTGAAAGAATATGAATTATTATGAATTATTTTATTTTTCTTGAGATGTGTGTAATGTTGTAGGGCCCCTAAGATTCTTTATGAAAGAGGACATTCAAGTGAGGTTCTATAGCATTTAGTGTATGTATTGAAATCTACACAGAGTGTACAGATATTATTACAGACTTTATCAGACTGTTATTTAATGCTATTTTTCTTAATCTTAATATATTATATTTAATATTTTTTGTGCCACACGTTATTATTATTATTTTTTTTCATTTTTTAAAATTCCCATCCTCTGTCCTTTCTTATCCTCTCGGGATTTTTCATGACAAGTGACTCATTCCGTCGTCCAATTCCATGGTCAACATTTGCTTATGGGTATCCATCCACACAAAATTACCAAAAGCATTTGATATTGCACATAGTTCTCGATAAGCGACCCGATACTTGTGTTTAAATAAGGGGTTGTTTGAGTTCCATTTTTTTCATAAAAATACATTTTGTAATATTATTATGATGGAAAATGTGTGATTAAAAAATAAAAAAATTGAATTTACGTGTAATATTATTTTATTGAAGGATATGTAGTTAAAATAAAGTCAAAATACTGTTTAAAAATTTATTTTAATAGAAAAATGGGGTTCAAACAAGGACTAAGCAATAAAATTTGTATTTATTACATCAGACGATATCATGCCTAATAGGCACAAAAAGTTGTCTAGCACCTTTTGAATTGTGGGTCAGTTTTAGCAAGTCACGCAACTGTCATAAAGGAAAATTCAAATAAGCAGAATGAGAGCACGTCGACGCGATCAATGAACAAAACTAATTTTTATAGTACAAAACCTCCCTAATGCGAGGAGTAAAATTTGGGTCTATATTCTAAAATTTCTAGTGATGCTATCAAAAATCGTACTTGATAGATTTTCGAGCTTGAGGACTGAGAAAGGACACAAATAGAGCTTTCTTGTACCTGAAACAAAGGCAACGAGGTGTGTTCTCGTCGCCGCTTCGATGGTTAAGTCAGACAGGGAATTTATATGAGAACGTATACTGAAATTGTATATAAAAACGTCATTTAGCCATGAACTTTGGTCATGTATTTATAGATGTTAGTGGTAAAGTTGTAAAAGAATTCAACTGTCTCCAGCCCTTATCATGTAGAGTGTTTGTGTTATAATGAAAGTATTTTATTTGAGTTTGAGTCAAACTCTGATAGCATAAAGAGTTGTAGCTAAAGTGAGATTGACATTTCAGGAGCCCGCTCTCATAAAGCTCGAGCTAAGCCTGTAGCCTGACCTCAATCCTTCTAACATAGGTCCATCCTCAACATGAAGCCTGACATTGTGCTTGAGTAAATGTGTGGGGGGAAGATCGAGCTATATAGTTCGAGATAGGGTGCTTTAAACCCAAGCTCAAGCTTGCTTATGCGAGCCCGATGGTTGTGGCCCAAGGGAGAGAGTAACGAGCCCGACTATATAAACTCGAGGGTGTTCAAGCCATAGGAGGAATGCTTGAGGTTACTATGACCTCGAGCATGAGGTCGTGGATGGTCGGGTCATACAAAAATTGTACACATCATGGGCCCATGTGCATCCATTTCAAGAGCTCATGCGCAATGTGGGAGTTTCTGGAATGAGATGCACAAGTACATTGGGTTCAAATATAGGCATGCTCATGTCCAGTTGATAGGCCCCTGAGCATATAGACCTAGGATAGCAATTTTTGATCGTTTCAAAAAATTTGAAAGAGATGAGCTTGATTTCAATATTAAGATATTTGAATGTGCTCGATCCCTACCTTGTTAAAATTTGAAGGGAAGGGGCTCGACCTCGACCTTATTAAAATTTTGAAAGGAAGTTGTACGCAGGACCTTGTCTAAGAATTTAGAAGGAATGAGCTCGACCTCGAGTTCATTAAAATATTTTGAAAGGAAGGTTTAGACCTTGACCTTGTTAAAAATTTTTGGAAGAAGGAGCTCGAATGAGAGCTCATTAAAAAATTCTAGAAAGGAAAGGTTTGATCCCGAAACTCATTAAAAATTTTGGAAGTAGGGAGCTCGACCTTTGTAAATGATTTTAGCATGAATGAGCTCAACCTCGAGCTTTACCAAAATTTTAAATGAAAGAGCTTGACCTGGAGCTTTGTCAAGATTTATAATGAAAGAGCTTGACTTGGAGCTTTGTCAAAAACTTGAAATAAAGAGCTTGACCACGAGCTCTACCAACTTGAAGTGAAAGAGCTTGATCTCGAGCTTTGCCAATATCAAATGAAAGAGCTCGAGCTCTTTGGCTGGGACTTTGGCAATGTATTGAGCTTGAGGTTAGGCCCGAGCCCAATGTTGAATAATATCTCGTGCTCTGATATCGAGATTTTGGCAATGTATTGAGCTCTAGGTTAGGCCCCCCGAGCCTAATGTTGAGAATATCCCGAGCTCTGAGGCTGGGACTTTGGCAATGTATTGAGCTCTAGGATAGGCCCCCAAGATCAATGTTGAACAATCCCCCGAGCTCTGAGGTTGGGCTTTTAACAATGTATTGAGCTCAAGAATATGCCTCTGAGCCTAATGTTGAACAATTATCCTCATTGGAATTTTTGAGAACTTAGCCCATCAAGCTCGGGATGAAAAATAATGTCGGGATTTTTTACTTATTGAATTTTTTTAAATGTATGCCTAAGGCAATGGCCAGGCATGGGGTCTACATGTACGCTTTAGCTGCATGCTTGGGACACGACTTTACGCTAAAGTGTTAAGAGTTTATTTAGCTGCATGCTTGGGAAACGACCCTATGCTAAATGTATGCTTTAGCTGCGTGCTTGGGGCACGACCTTACGCTAAAGTGTTAGAGTTTATTTAGCTAAATGCTCAGAGCACGACTTTATGCTAAATGTATGCTTTAGCTGCGTGCTCAGGGCACGACCTTACGCTAAATGTTTATTTTCAAGAGAAAGCATTAGCAAAAAAGCAAATTCCTATATCATTAAAGAGTAAGTGCTTGAAGGCATTTTATCCCAAGTTTTTGGAAACTATGAACCATTCATAAAAGGATGAAAGAGGGCGCGTAGGCCCAAAAAGTAAACTTCCTAAGGGGAACACAAATCCGAACTACCAAACTAAACTTATGAGTGCGAAGGACTGTAAAGAAAACTAAGGGCAAAAGCTAGCCTAAATACCTAGGGGCAGAGACTGCTATTCACAATAGAGCTTTAGGTTGTCATCGTTCCAAGGGTAACCTGCCTTCCAGGCTTGAGCTCGACCTCTAAAAATTCTTCCACATATACCATTCTCCCACAACGTTCAAGCTCGAGCTCGAGCTTTGAAACCTGCATGCCATCGATTTTGATTTCCCGAATGCTGGAGACATAGCACTGTCTAGCCACATTTTAGTTTCCTCGAACTACTCCTACTCCATTACTTATTGGAAATTTCATGGTCAAGTGGAAAGTTGAGACAATAGCCTTTATCCCATTAAGCAGCGGCCTTCCAAGTATGGCATTGTAGATCATTGGAGCTCAAACTACATAGAAAGTTGTGACCCGTGTTACCTGCTTTTCTTCTGATCCTAAAGTCAGAGGTAATT